GTGTGTCACTGTGTGTGTGTGTGTCACTGTGTGTGTGTGTCACTGTGTGTGTGTGTGTGTCACTGTGTGTGTGTGTGTCACTGTGTGTGTCACTGTGTGTGTGTTTGTGTGTCACTGTGTGTGTGTGTCACTGTGTGTGGGTGTGTCACAGTGTGTGTCACTGTGTGTCACTGTGTGTGTCACTGTGTGTGTGTGTCACTGTGTGTGTCACTGTGTGTGTCACTGTGTGTGTGTATCACTGTGTGTGTGTGTCACTGTGTGTGTCACTGTGTGTGTGTGTCACTGTGTGTGTCACTGTGTGTGTCACTGTGTGTGTGTATCACTGTGTGTGTGTGTCACTGTGTGTGTCACTGTGTGTGTGTGTCACTGTGTGTGTCACGGTGTGTGTCACTGTGTGTGTCACGGTGTGTGTCACTGTGTGTGTCACTGTGTGTGTCACTGTGTGTTTGTGTGTCACTGTGTGTGTGTGTGTCACTGTGTGTGTCACTGTGAGAGTGTGTGTGTTTGTGTGTCACTGTGTGTCACTGTTTGTGTCATTGTGTGTGTCATTTTGTGTGTGTCACTGTGTGTGTCATTTTGTGTGTCATTTTGTTTGTGTAACTGTGTGTGTCACTGTGAGTGTGTGTCCCTGTGAGTGTGTGTCACTGTGTGTGTCACTGTGTGTGTCACTGTGTGTGTCACTGTGAGTGTGTGTGTGTGTTTGTGTGTCACTGTGTGTGTCACTGTGTGTGTCATTTTGTGTGTGTCACTCTGTGTGTCACTGTGTGTGTGTCACTGTGTGTGTCATTTTGTGTGTTATTTTGTGTGTGTCACTGTGTGTGTCACTCTGTGTATGTCACTGTGTGTGTCATTTTGTGTGTGTCACTGTGTGTGTCACTGTGAGTGTGTGTGTGTGTTTGTGTCACTGTGTGTGTCACTGTGTGTGTCACTGTGTATGTCATTTTTTGTGTGCCATTTTGTGTGTGTCACTGTGTGTGTCATTTTGTGTGTGTCACTGTGTGTCATTTTGTGTTTGTCATTTTGTGTGCGTCACTGTGTGTGTCATTTTGTGTTTGTCATTTTGTGTGTGTCATTTTGTGTTTGTCATTTTGTGTGTGTCACTGTGTGTGTCATTTTGTGTTTGTCACTGTGTGTGTGTCACTGTGTGTGTGTCACCGTAATATTGTCGTGTGTGGTTGGCGGGTGCTCTGGTGTGGTTTGCTTCTTCTTTCCCATCAAACGTCTATCGTCCTTATCTCCCCTCCTTCTTTTTAGTGTTTGTTACTCTCTTGTAACACCTCTAATCTTCGGCACTTATATGACCTTATAGTGTTGCAAATGCCGTAAAACTCTTACAAAAAATAAAACTAAGATAAAATGATGTGAAAATCCAGAGATGTATTTTTACATTTCTACGTTATTTCTCC